AGTTCAAACGAGTAGCGCGGTTTCGTTATGCTTTCAGTTTCGTTTGCCATTTGATGTTTCTCATATACAACAGAAATGCAGCGCTTACGAGTTAAACAATGCGGTGGTCGTGCCAGTGCGACCGCACAGGCAGAAAAAATGATCGCAAAATGCGCCCAAGAATACCAGCATGTTCACCTTTGGTTTAAGAAGCGGTCTTTTACTTTACTTCAGCATGAAAACCATCCATCGCTTCCTCAATATTCACGTCATTTTTGCTGCGCGCTCCTGCTGACGCCGCGAGTATAAACCAGGCTCTTGAGTGATCATTGCAAAAAATGTGTTTATGTATATATATTCTGTTTATGTCTATACTGTATTATATATATATATTACCACTATTTTCAATTAAATAAATGCAGCCTTGAGAGATTTATAAAAAAAAACAAACTTTTGCACAGTAGTTGTAGGTACAGTACGGTATGACCAATTTGGAGCTGGGGAGCAAAACCAGAATTGTGTAGGAAACATGCTGAGGTCAAAGCAACATATGGCATTTGTGTTGAGAAATTTCTTGATGTGAGTCATGTTAAAGGGTTTTTAGACTCTGTCATTAAATTAATTGCACTTCAGCCAGTCTGAACCTTATGATTACATGACCTCAATGCTGCTACCAATGCTGTCTCAAAAATGATTATGTCTTGCTTCTGATGATTACTTCCCTTTATGGTTTATGTATAACCAACTTTGTCCTGACTTACAGGCACAGAGGTTTATATACATGGGTGTTTGTGTGTGTTGTTATTGCTGTGTGTGCATGTCGGGTGTCAGTATACATCTTACGGGCCCATGAGAAATAGGGGTTGAGAGGCTAAAGTCTTTCTCACATTTTCTTCCTCACTTAAACCAGACAAAGATCCAGGGCTCATTAATAATGAAAGCGAGCTGAAATCATGTAAAATTCTCTAGGAAGCCCATCTCCCTTTGTACTTTAACACTATGACAGCGATTAATATTTCATATGTATCGTTACGTTGCACTGTGTATGTGTGTGTCTGCTTTTTTCTTTCCTTCTCTTCCTTCTTTCTCTTTTAGATAGCTGTCCTCTCTGAAAAACAGATGAAGAACATAACGGTACTGAGCAAAATGGCCTCTGCCCTTCAGGCTTCTAAATTGTGGTTTACTCTGTAAATGAAAGCTGCAGCAGCCTTTCCCTTGAGGAGAGCACTTTTTGACACTGCTGTTTTGACAGCGCTAATGCAATATCTGTTCTTGCCAATGGAGTGTTTTCAAGGTGCTGTTCATTTCTCCACTCAGTCTAGTCTGAAAGTTAACACTCTCCCCAGATGATTCAATCAAGCAGAGTTTAATGAAGTAAAATGAGGCAAAAGTCCAGCGTATTTCAGCAACTCTACAACCTTATGTTGTGCAACATCTCACCAATGCAGAATGTTGACCGCAAGGAAACACTCTCCTATTCTACAATGCAAAATACAGGGAAACGATCAAAAGGTTCAGCTGACTAACTCTGATCTGCAAGTAAAGGTGGAATAAAACCATGCACCGAAATTCAAAACCAATGAAAATGCCTGACCCTGATCTGGAAAGGTTTAAAATCAGCAAACCCAGCATCACTCAGAAGATAGTAGCACTTGTCACTCACCCACTTAGGACGACAATGAAGTCCATGACGTTCCAGCCATTCCTCAGGTACGAGCCCTTGTGGAATACAAATCCCAAGGCAATGATTTTTATTCCAGCTTCAAAACAAAACATTCCTATAAAGTAGGGCTCTGTTTTTTCCTGAAAAAAGAGAATGGATTGGGTGTGAGACAACAGAAACTACCTATATAAAAGAGAGAAAAAAACCTAGAACTCAAAATTGCCCTAAAAATGCCATCTAGGTAGGGTGCTCATTAGATTTTGAATGTTCTATTCAACAAATCTATTATTAATCTTAGTTTTAATTGAGGTTTTATTTAGTGAGGTAAGATTTCCACTACTTGTGTCTGTTTAAACAACCACTTCTCAGAAATATGTCACAGAGGTAAAACATTAGGGAAAAATGTTTTGAATGGGAATAATTAGCTTGTGGTGAGTGATTCACCGGGGGAAACTACTGAATAAAGTCTGAATAAAGTTGTCAAGAACAAAGAATATGAGGAAGGAAAGAATATGACCGCACAAGAGAGAAGGGTTGTGCTACATTTAGAGGATAACTGTTCTCTAGACTGATCCAGAATAGTAGGTTTTCTAATTTCTAGAACTGCATCTATAAGTAGATAACTAGGCCAAAATTATTCATTTATAACATATGATTTGGATAAACAACTTTTAGCAATGCTTCATGTGTGGTTTATGTATATTTAAGTGGGTAGGCATGTTCTCACAAGTCTTTTTGACATGGGTGTCTTGTCCTCTCCAGGCAGGTGTTGCTCCAAGGCCAGGACAATGCAGTTGGCGATAATGGTGGCCAGGATCATGTATTCAAACGGAGTTGAGGAGGAAGGTTAAGGAAGAGTACATACTTAAGACAGATTGTTTGTTTGGTCATTGGTGTACATATTACCATGAGATCACACTCTGTTACTGTGCTCACCTTGAAAAGCACATACTTTAAAAAACCACAAACACAGCACATATTTAAGTATATAAAAACTTTTCACTTGTCATTAATCATACAAACCATAAAAACAATTAAAATCCTAGTTCCTAATTTTCTTAAGTCTTATAGTACATTATCAAAACAGCCTATAGATTTTGGAACCTGTTTGACTTACTCATTTAAAAAGAAACAACTCGAAAGAATGATTCCCTCACAAATCTGACAAACTGAACCACTATGGAATTTTTTTTTAAGTCTATACTCACTATAGAACTTTTCAAACAATTAAAAGAATTCCCAAATATTTCCAGGGTTTTCATGGTGGTGGGACCCCTAGAGTGTGTTTCAGTGTGCACGTGTAAAAGATGAGCTCTCTCTCTCCCTCCCTCACACACAAACACACAGCCAATGAGTGCATGAAGACTATTGCCTTGTCCTGTCAAACAAAGAGAGCAGCAGTTCACAAGATGTTCTCAGGAACCCTGGTGGTTGTGAGTTCACAGTCAGCCACTGATTTGCATGTGTACAGAAAAATGTTGGATTTTGCAATGTAGGCACCTGCCAATTTCTGGCAGTGTGTGTGGGGACGAAAAACAGTGCATAAAAGATGTACTGCTTTGCAAGTCTGCTTAGGACAGAGAAGATAGAGAGTGTTCAGTACAAATAGAACAGGCAGCTGGAGGACAGACCTCTGGGGAAGTCTTTCTCTCTTCTTTCCCTCAGTTTGTGTTAATTAAATTAAGCCCAGACTTTGCTGGGTTCTTGTTCTAGTAGCATAATACTAGTGTCAACATGTTGGCATTGGCATAAACAATCAATTCAACATATGTTTTGGTAAAATAGACAGTGTATGTTAAGGTTATTTATATGAAAGAATAAAAGAATGTGATAAATACAAAGAGGAACATTTCAAAAGTAACAATGTTCTAAATAGGCTGTATAATCTTCAAAAAGAAAGTATCTTGTGCACATGCTCTGTGCGTGTTTAATACTTTTAATAAATAATTTTTTTTTAATGCAAAAAGTGACCTTTTTTCCCACAGTAAAGCTCTTAATCTAAAATGAATCTGACATCCTCCCCTATGCTACAATATGGTATGTTTTGATACGTTTTGGCTATAATTTTGCCATTTCACACAGTATTTCTTTAAAAAAATTGTTGCTGGTGCATCTCACCTTAAAAATGCTGTTAGAGTATTTTACTTCTCAACAGTTAATTTGGAGTCACTTAATACACGGATACAGAGGCGTCATGCCCATTCAACGTGAGGAGGTATGTGCCCCCTCAGATTTCTGAGCCAAGTGGATCTTGAATTCAGCTTCCAATAGACAACAAATAGCCGAATAATATTTTTTATATTTGATACAATAACACCGGTGTGATTAGATCTTTCAGTGCGGCACAGCATCAGCTGCTAAAATTAAATCTGCGTTGAACTCTGGCTAGACTGAATGAAAATTTTCTTTGTTAATGTAAATGTTCTTTGCTCTCTGTAAAATGAAAGTGTTATAATTAGTAACTTACAATATTCTTATTAAATTCACATTAAATACAAAGTCAGTCGTATTAAAAATATTTTATGGCATGACACCCATATCTGGTACTTAAGTAAAAAGTCGGGTTTTTATGTGTAGTTAATAGATTACACTATTAGTCTACTTTGCCCATCACTATTTATTGATCAAATAATAATCTATAAGGTGCAAAATGCATTTACTTACACATATTTGAGAATCGAGATATTTCCTGATATAGTTTACACGTTTGGAAATATTTCGAATAAAAAGGAAAAAAATTAAAAATAAAACATAAGCCTAAACCAGTTATACTGCTATCGTATAACTGATATAGCCCCTAAACCCCCCCCGCCACGTGCCCCCTCAAAAATCATGAGTGCATGACGCCCAAATAAGGGCACAAGAGGGAGAAACCACAACAAACAGTCCAATGGGGGTGTGATACGCCCCTGCACGGATACATTATTTTAGCTTTTATAAGTAAGTAAAGCTTTATTTATATAGCACCTTTTAAAACAGTGTTTACAAAGTGCTTTACAGGATAGAAAATTTACAATTCACAATAACAAACAGTTTTAAATTTCAGTTACTGTGCGCATTAAGAACAATTCATAGTGCTCTCTACTCCATGATCTAACAGAAATTAGAAAGTTAGCAGAAATTAGCAGATTTAAGAGACTGTGCTGTGACATGATTCTGTGTACGATTCACCCTGATTAGATTACTTGTTTAAGTTTTAAGTTTTAAATTTAAGAACCTCTTTTGTCTTTTTGACCATGCCACCAAGTATTGCAAATGACAGGAATATTCTGAAAACCAGCACGGTTACCTACATGTCAGATACACTCACTGTGAGGGACCCCTGTTTAAATTTAAGAACCTCTTTTGTCTTTTTGACCATGCCACCAAGTATTGCAAATGACAGGAATATTCTGAAAAGCAGCACGGTTACCTACATGTCAGATACACTCACTGTGAGGGACCCCTTTAGGTGTAGCAAAAGAAGCAAAAAAGTGTGAGAGGAACATAGAAAGAGAGAAAGAGAGACAACATTGCAATCTGAGAAAGAGCAATAGAGAGACAGAGAGCGAATGGTATCCGTGGCAACAGGCTCTCTCCTCTCTGCCATAAGTCAGTACTCAGAGTTAATATGGTCTCTGAGCCATCAGTGTTCTCTACATGCTGCTGAATGCATTTGTACAATCAATACTGACTACATAAACATCCTTTCAATGCATCCACCACGATACACAATACTCAATATTTCTTCAGATCAGCTCTTAATAAGTTCAGGAAGCTGGGCAATACTGAATAGCCCAGCCACAGGATCAGACAGGTATCGCCATTACCTTTAGTGACTTTATCAGAAAACACTTTCTCTTCCAAGCTCTCTCAGTCTATTTCTACATTTTACTGGAATATATTTCAAAATAACAGTGCAAGTAGTGGCAATGGAATGTGATAGAGTTCAAAGTGCTTTTCAATGAGCAAAAAGAATGAATTGCATTTCAATCCAATGAAACCTTGGAGCATGAGAGAGACAAAGTGATTAGGAGAGATACAGTGACAAGAATAAATGCATGGAAATAGAGAGTGAGAGACATAAAATTATGATATTCATAACATCACAAACATTACTCTAACACTGTGTTCTAACTAGACATGACGCGATAAAGTCATAACCAATAAAGACTGCTTTTTGTCCAAACTAGCTGTGACAAGCAACCAACAAAAACAGTTTGTTTAGTTTCTATTTCTGCATCATTATACCATGAAGCCCACAGTAAACTCTCATTGGCTCCAAATCCTGCTCTACATTTTTCAATGTTTTTTTAAAAAGATTTACTTATTACAATTAAAGTAACTGTTTTCTATTTTAAGATAGCGTGTGTGTGATATGAAGTTTAATATTTAAAAAATGCTATTTATTCCTGTGATGGCAAAACTGAATCTTCAGCAACAATTACGCTGACCTTCAGTGTCACATGAACTTTAGAAATCATTCCAATATGCTGATTTGGTGCTCAAGAAGCATTTTGCAAACTTTCTTTCTTTATAATAATAAGCAAAATGCAAACTTGCTTTCTTTACAATAATAAGACTAGGAACTAGGGCTGTGTATCACCAGCAAAGTCACGATACTATACATATCACGATACAGAGGCCACGATACGATACATATCATGATACAGGACTGCACTGAATTTCACCTCAGCAGAATTGAGTAAAACAGCTGTTTATTAAACACTGCATACTATAGTGCCATTTCTAACTATTGGCAGAGCAGGCAGTTGACCTCTGCATTATGAAGGGCCTCCATAACTGTAATAACTATAACCCACAGTACAATATAGGTAATGGCATATTCATGCTTAGGTGTGCTTGTCAGGGTTCTGCCCTGACACTCCATTTGTCTTGTGTTTGTTTCTTGTGTCTGTTGTCCTGTGTCAGCACATGGCCTAGTTTGTTTTTCTCAGCCATGTGCTTCTCTAGCCCCTCCTCCTTGTTTCCTCTTTACCACACCCTCTTGTTAGCCTTGTTGGTCTAATTGTGCTCACCTGTTCCTCGTGTGTTTTCCTCCCTATTTATAGTGCCCCTTGCCCTACTGTCTTGGCCGGTCCGTGGTAATTCTTTCCCTCACTGTGTTTGTCTCTGTCTGTGGATGTGGCTGATTATGTGTTCCTGTCTCCCTGTCTGTTTGATCTTGTGCTCTAGTCTTGTCTCTTGTAATTCTATGTTCTTGTCTTGCTCCTTGTTTTTGGATGTGGTCTGTTTTTGTCTTTTTGCTTTTATTTTAGTATTCATTTAGTTCTCTTAGTCCTGATCTTTTGTGTTCATTTTTTGGTTGATATTTTAGTTATGTGTTTGGGTAATTTAATTATTTTTATCTTTTTTAATTAGTCCTTTTTTGTTTATTATCTTGCCTGTCTTGGAGTACTTTGTGTTCCTGTGGAGCCATGTTTTGTCTTGTTGTGGTGTTCCGGTCCTGACCTGTTCCTGTCCACTGGTTCCCTTGCCTGGCGTCTGGGGTGCTTCAGAGTTTATGGTCAATAAGTATCTGAGCTCAGCTCTCTGGTGCCTTGCTCTGGTCTCTCCACCGGCCTGGTCTTGCCGCCTCCTCTGCTGCTATAGTATTCTGCCAGTTGATGTCTGAGGCTGTTCCAGTGGCCTTCCCTAGCTATCTCGGTTTGTTCCTGTTGTGGTATCACCTGTGCCCCTCACAACCTTTTTGTATTGATCTGTTTTGTCAATAAACCCTTGTTACTCACACTGCAATTGGGTCCTCCTTCCAGATCCCTGACATTAGGGACCGGCCAAAGTCAGGACACAGCAGATGA